GGCAGAATTTGATTAATTTTCAATACAACACTATGGATATTCATGAATATAGCTTGTTATCAATGCATTGCAGACACATGAATGGATACAAACATCATGAAATATTATTTAGGTATTTTGGTTGTTTATTTGAGGGGTTTTGGGATGTTAGAGGAAGTCGAGGAAAAGAGGAATGTAAGGATGAGCATTACTTGATATTTATAGCTTCTTGAATTGAAGGTTTTGAATGAATTTGGGGATTTGGACTGATAATGAAAGTTAAAATTATGACAATATTTTGTACACATACCTAACAAGTCTTCAAATCAATGGTGTGGCTAGGGGGTGATTGATTGGATGTCCACCCCCCTTAGTAATTTTTTTTTAATTTGCTAGGGTTTTTGTAATGCAATTTTAGACCCCCCCCCCTCCTAAAGTTTTCACACAAAAAATTAAAAATCCACTCCTTAAAAAATTAATGGCTATGCCGCTGCTTCAAAATATAACGGAATATGAACCACTTATAAGCTTCGTAGTAAGCACACAAAATAAGTTTCATGACAAGATTGTTGAAACCAGCTTCCATCTACGCATGACTTTAGGTTAAGCCAAGAACTTACGAACGCAAAACCAATGCTTTTCACTTAAGCTACTGACGCAATTTAACTGATATTATTTAAAATCGATGTTCGAATGACCTTTGTGGTCATTTACTTATGATGTCCGTCAAAAACATGATTTTAAGAATACCCTCCCCCCTTTCTGAATGTCGGACGTCATAGGTGAATGACCCCTTTCCATATCTCACCTCCTCTTGATCTCCTGCCTACGTCTTTTACCATTTTTCAGAACTTAACATACGTTTTTTTTCTTAAATCTTAAAAACTCAAATTTATTCCTTCTCTTCCCGGGCGCCATATATGCTGAAAGCCTTCATTTGCTCACAAAAAAATCATCTCGATTCTGTTATTGGCCAATAAAAGACACACAAAAAAAAATATACAAAATAAATACTCACAGATCATTGCCTCTTCATACAATACTTTTCATCTCTTATGTATTTACCCAGTCAGTCTAACTAGTCATATAAAAAAAAGCTGAAAGAGAAACAAGATATCAAATCATTGACCAAAATTGCTGCCAAATGTGCTTTAAATTTGTTGTTGTTGACGCTCTGAGAGGCTTCATTTTCGTTTTTGTTTGTTATTATGAAGACAATTAGGTCACAATTTACTATAATGTCATCTTTTCATTCTAGAATCGAGATGCTTATATGTTGTCTCGTCCCTTTTTCCGTTGGGACAAATGATCCATTCATTATGGACATTTTCATTTCTGTATTATGAAACTTTATTTATCATTAAACATTTTTTTGTGCTTGTCTTTCGATGAAAGGATGACAAACAATTAGACATGGAAGTAAATATTGTTGATGGATGAAAAATGTGGTTGACGGTCAATGACTTGGTCATTTTTATTGTGAAACTTTAACAACCAGTTGAGAAGTAATTTTGTTGTTTATGGGTGTAGTTTTAGTATAGTTTATGTGGTATTTAAGTGAATAATGTCTTTTTGAGTTGATGGGATAGTAATTCATGCTGAAGATGGAGAGAAAATTGGAGTTATGTGTGCTGAACATTATGTTTTATGGATGATGTTCATGGTGGTGAAGATAATTTTGTTGATCGAAAAGTTGGAGTTATAAAGTAGAATTAACAGGGATGAGTTTCACATTTTGTCACAGGTTTAGGCGTTCGCAATTGTTTGTGACAGGAGCATAGCCAGAAAAAATTTTTTGAGTGTCCAAATTTGCTTTTTGTTGCCTCAAATGTGGACACCCAAAAATTGTTCCTTATTTTGAAAAAAAAATCAAGGAGGAAGGGGGTCCGGACCTGTTATGTGAACCCTAATCCTTTTTCTTCTATACTCTCAAATTTCGCCACTTAGGTTCACTTATGAAGTCCAGGGGGGGGGGGGGATCAGCAAGAAAAGAACAATAGAAATTCCTGAAAATACATTGTTTGTTTTTGAAAAATGACCGTTAATTTCGGACGTCATAAGTGAACGACCCCTTAAGCTCCCACTAAATGTCTATTTCAATTGCCAAAGAATCCTCACTATATCCTCACTTAAAGCTCTTACCTTAAAAATAAAATCTTTCTTAAAAATTGAGCAATAAAAATTTAAAAGGTAATGAAAAGAATTCCAGTTCCTTCACGTGAAAGTTAATTAGTATTTTGTTCTGTTCATTCTCTCTTGATAGTTCCTATAGCAATTAATTCATAATCCCAATCGACTCATTTCAGAATGAAAGAAAATTAAAAGCAATTAGGAGATTAAAATCGAAAGAATGGAACATTTTTTGCTGCTTATGAATTTTAAGTGGAATTCCTTTATCTTTTTTTGAGGTACGTATTATAGTAATGTCTGGGTTGTATAGTATTATAGTTGTAAGCTGTTAAAGGTTGTTATCAATTAATTTTTTCAATGAAATTGAGTTTTTATTCGAACGTTTTATTATTCTGCTTTATAATGACTGAAAACTGCTGCCAAAAAGTGAACAGAGTTGGAAGTGGAGCACAATTTTGTGGACAATTTTTTTTGTATGGAAAACTTTGGGGGGGGGGGGGGTGATTTTTTCGAGTTTTTCATAAAACTCCTAGCAAAATGAAGAAATTTCTGTTAACGTCGGGGGATTTGTCCCCCAAATCCTCCTCCCCGTGGTTACGCGCTTGAAGTGGAGCATTAAGAAATATGCAGAACTGTCAGTGCAAGAATAAAGACTCAACGGTCGAGTGGCTAGCCAACAGTTCAATATCTGTAATCTTCTTTTATAAAGACATTAGTTCGATACCTAAGATCCTAAAATTGCTCACGTTATTTCAGATAGCAACAGATTCTGTTAACGAGTCTGGACATCCAAGCATCACTGTGTTCGATCCAAAATAGCAGATAAAGAATGTTTGAACCTATACAAACTATCTTTTACTCTGCCTGACCTGCCTGATGTATCAGGAATAACAAAACTTCCTCTAGCCATCACTTTAGTTCACCTAGATACGCCCAAACCGATAGAAAGTCAAATTGTATAATTTTTAACACAATTTCTGCCACTTCCAATATATTCACCGCTCTTTTAATTTTTCCGTCCTCACAAAATTCCAATTTAACCCCACACAAAAGCATACAATTCAAGAGAGTTAAGTGTTTGTATGCACAGAATAGATATGCACATATTATGTATATAAAAAAAAATAATCGCTCGCTTTTTTTCTATTGATTTATCACATGTTGAACTATAATCTATGGAATATTCAAAATAGACCGCATATGAAATATACACAGTCATACAACATAGACCGAATGAAATATGGAGTGAGATATAGTGAGAGAAAGAGAGAGAGAGAGAAAAAAATGAAATTTGCATGCATAAATCTATTAGGAAAATGAATGAATTTTCATCTAAATGCAAATTTTGTCTCATAAATCTATTGATTTAATTTAGTGGTGGATTTTGGACTTATCTATCTCTCACAAAAGTGTGCATGAAATAAACGAATAAAAGGATGAAATTTTGAAATCATTTTGATGATTTTTAATTCAATTATTTAACTTTAAATCTGCTGCTTTGACACTTTATGGTGTTTTTAATTTGGTGATTTTTTGAAACGATTGTGGATGAATTGGAAGTTAACTAGAGTCGCCATTTTTGTCTAGACTCAAAAATTCTCATTCCATCTCTTTTTGTTCATTTACGACTAGTTTAAATCCCGAAAAGCACAAGTCAGACATTCAAATAGGAATCCCACACCAGGACGGAATGACACTGGCATCAGGCAGAGGCATGAGTGGAGGATCCTAAAAGCGATCTCTGGACCAACAAGAAAAGATGAATTTTTCAAATCCAGGAGCAATTTAGAAGTGTTTCAGTTTTTCCAAAAAGCTGACATCGTAAAACGAATAAAAGTGATCAGACTTCCATGGGCTGAATATGTTGTGAGAAAATCTGTGGAAGCTCCATTAAATCAGGATCTCAAATCGGACTTTGTAGTTGGTAAGAGATCATAAGGAAGGCCAAAAAACTCATGGTAAAAAGGCTGTTGATAGAGATAGCGTTACATTTGGTATTGGTAATTGGCAAGCGGTAGCCAGCGTTAGAGCCAACTTCATGCGGCATCTGAGGGAGGTCATGGATCGCAATTGATCTGTACAAAGTAAGTCAGCAAGTAAGTATCGACTTTCGGGATTAAAATTGCATAAGTTAAAGGAGGAAAAAAAATTAATCATATGAAACAGATTAAAAATGGAACAAAAATGATGTCGTTTGGGACATTCAAAGCTACTCATTGAAAAGAATACAGCATGAGTATCAAAATCAATCCTTTAAATGAAAAAATCTCAGATTTAAGTAATTGAATTTATCTTTTCAGATTTAAATAAATTCCAATCACGATTCAATCTAGTCAAGAGTCCTCAAATATCTCTTATTCCAATACACTTTACCATTAAAATATCTCAAATTTCCTCATCAGAAGCTCCTCCCAATAGAGCTTCAATTCAACAAAGCTTCTAATTTTACAGGTAAATTGGCATCATCATGTACAGTCATTAATTTTAATTAATTCTTTCTTTATCTTATTTTCTGTGTCCTCAAGTGCGTTTGGTGATTGAGTCTCGTAAGCTCTTATATCATCCGTAAGCAAATGACAGACAAAAGGAGATATAAATTAAATGTGATTGACAAAATTACATTTTCGTGTGTGTCATGACATTGTCAGCATGATGACATAATCAAATTAATTAAGTTGGTAAACATGTGATTAAGATTTTCATTTAATTAAGTTACATTGGATATTCGTTGTAGTCATGGTGTTTCAATGATAAGGAATGATAGATGGAACGGTTTGATTGATTTTTTTTGTGATTCAATTTGATGAATTGTTGTTAAGGCTTTGGGTCTTTTTGGAGGTTTTATTCATAAGTTGCAGCCTTAAAAAATATAAAGATGTTTTTAATAGCTTAAATCATTTATTTGAGGTCGTTAAAATATCTCAAAACTCAAAATCCTTAAAAAATTCCTCAATTTTTTGTTCATCTTTATGTCCCCATTGTGGATTGCTGAGTATATTTTCAGACTCAAACCAATGAGTTCCGTCTCCGCTCTTTATTTTCGTCTGTGCAATCATCGATTTTGTTGCTTCATTTCTGTCTGTAACCCATCCTCGTCTGTACCACCAATCGATGATACATGCTGATAAGTTAAAGTGCTTTAAGTCACCAAATTCAGCACATCTGACAAAAAATTAATATTGTAGAAAAATATCAAAATAAAAGCTATTCTTCAACTTACTTATAGTCGGAAGGAAATGTGTGATGGAAGTTGTGAAAGCTGCAATAATTTTATAATTTGCCTTAAAATGCATTCATTTGCTGCTTCGTAATTCAAATCCATCACTTACCCTTCACCAAATGTGAAGATAATTGCAAAAATATTGTCAACAGCTGACGTTTTCTCATCATAAGGTTTCGGACCATGGGAATGCATGACACTATTAAAAACACTAAGTTGTGTCAAGTTAGCTAATAATCTAGTGAAATTAGCCAAACATGCAATCCATAATGCTTCATTCCAAAGGAAAACTGGCACAATGACTGGAAATATTGCTACGCTGAAGAAGTGAATAAGGAGGAAGTAGCTGGAATGATAAGATTTTGGAATTTTTAAGGCAGGCTTGGTAAGTTTTGATTTAGTAACACCAAAAAGCATGCAATTTTGTATGGATTCTAGTCGAGTCGAAGTCGAGTCTCGAGCTCTGCCAAAAAGGTAAACACCATATTTTACTTCTTTAAACTTACTCATATTGGAACATCAGATCTTTATCTGCTTTCAAATCACTAACATCAATTGACAAGATAGCTTTTTCAACAGCTGGTGAATACCAAAACATCCAGTAAATATGTGAAAACCAAAATCCTTTCTTAATATTCGTTGGATCCTTAGCAGTGTCTGTGTATTTGTGATGAGCTCTGTGACTTCTTACCCAGTTGATTATGCTCCACTGTTGAACGTTTATTAAAAATATATTTCGATTAATTTTATATTCCATAATTAAACAGAAGTGGTCATGTGCAGTTCAGTGGCGAGCTAAGGAACGACTGAAGCTTTAGATCTAATGACATAAACACTACTGGTGCTTTTTAACACTCCATTAATGACAAATTTTGTAGGTTTACATTTAAAAACATCTTTATATCATAATTGAGCCTCACCTGTCCAGAAAGTGTGTGACCAAAAATCAAAATTAATTTCAGTACTCGATTTGTCTTAAATGATCTGTGTCCCAATAGTCTGTGACTTCCAATATTCATTGAGAATCCGCATACAATGAAGATTAGTAATGCTTTAATACCAAAACAATAAAATGAAAATTTGAAATTCCATTCACAAAAGTCAATAAAGGACAATTGTTGGATAAAAATGCATAAGAAGCTAAGGATTAAGTTTTGTGCATCCAAAAATCAATAGTTTCAAAAAAGGCTTACCCCACAAAAATGTCAAAAACTTCCAATGTCCTGTTAACAGTCCAATGACACCAATGACACCAAATACGTAAATTGATGCAGTTTGAATCACTGTGGGCCATTTAATTTCAAAGAAAATGTTTTTCAGTTCTTTTTGATTCACTAGTTTTATTTCTTTTGTAGCTTCCATTTTTTTCGAAAATAATTAAAATTTACTAGAAAATATCTTGTTCACTTCTGATCTTCTTGAGAGTTGACAAAGTTCTGAGAATCATTTTTATTTCATTTTCTGGGAATATCTTTAAGATTTATTTTTTGGGATTTCCTCTTGGAAATACCTGCTTGCTTTATTGAATATTGTAAGAGAATAAATTTTTGAAAAATATGCAAATACTAACCCGAACACGAAAGACCAAGCTGGCATGGTGCTGGCTTCGATTGTAATCTAGCAGCATGCCAGAGTCACACTAGCTTGGTGACGGATTTCTGATCGATTAAATTCGAGTATTAAGTGTATTGGACGTGTAATTTCAGGATATGATGGGATATCTCAATTCTAATGCTTACAGGCTCAGGGATTATTTTGAATATTTTTGGGATATATGGGATATTTGGGATAGTTTCCACGCCTTGATTAGACATAAAATTCTTTTTAAAGTAGTTTTAAAATATTTATTACAATAAACAAAAGATGTAACAGAAGATGAAACAAATCTTGCCAGTCATTGTTCACACATCTTGACTTCGTTGCTTACAACAGACTGGCCTTGAAATGGGAATTCCCAAAAACAATTCAAACACTTTTTGTGAATGTTGCGACAGACTCAAAAACCTTTTGTTATCGGTATTGAATTCGCTACTTTCTTGAATAGATTATTGACATTTAATGTTTGGAATTGATAAGCTTTATCAAGAGATAAGGCACGATTCATGCTATTAGTCTTTAAGAGAGCTTATGGATCACAATTGACCTGTCCAGCCAGCGAAGTAAGGCAGCAAATAAGTGCTAATCAAACAACTTCAACGACCCTAACCCCAAAATTAAAAATACTCGAATGGTTTAAACTAAAATTAATTACAGCTTTAGTTTTTTATTTGGCTCCTAAAACTTATTTTACATTTAATAAATTTTAAACTTATTTTAAATCAATTCAATCTTTTATGTTTTTTTTCCCGGGTTTCAAAAATTATTTTCTATGTTTTTAATTACTAATAATACCAAATTCAATTAGTAGAATTAAAATCAAAACTATTAAATCTATTAAAAATACAAAAAAAAAATATATAAAATTACATAAAGTCAACTCTCGTTCTTCTTATCAATAATATTATTGTTTTGATCAAAAAGATATCCATGAAAATCAATTTTATCATCCACATCCATATCTATGTCACCATAACCCCAAATTGGGTTCTTTAAAATTTCATTTGATGTTAGCCAATTGCTTCCATCACCAGTCCTTGCTTTTCTTCTCTCAATCATGTTCTTTGAAACTACTTTACGATCATAAACCAGACCAAATCTTGCACATACATCAAGCATTATTGTTGAAATATTGAAGTGAGTGAAATCACCGAATTCTGCAGCTCTAAAAATCAAAAATTCATTAAACTTAATTATTTTTGAGAATGTAGGATGTACTTACTTATAATCCCATGGGAATACATGATGATAGTTGTGATAGCTATGAATTTACAAAAAATGATCAACTTTTTGTGCTCAAGGTCAAATCTAACGACACTCACCCTTCGCCGTAAGTATAAAGTATGCAAAACAAATATTCAGCAGCTGAAACATTCTTATCATATGGCTTTTTCCCATACATGTGCATAAGACTGTTCGCAAAACTCATTTGATTATAGTTGAGTAGCCAACGGAACATATTTGCCCAAAAACTAATCCATAATGTCTCATTCCATAGTAAATATGGGACAATTGTTGGATATAAAATGCACAGTAAGAAGCTAAAGATCGGGAAGTATCTAGAAACGTAAATAAAAATTTAGTTCACGCACGCAGCATTTACAAAAGTCAATGAACTCAATATTTGCTAAGAAAAACCAAAACATCAACAAACATTGAGCATCAAACATTATCTTACCTGTATTGAAACATCACATCTTTGTCCAATTTCAAATCACTGACGTCAACAGTTTCTAATGCCGCTTTACATTCCGGTGAGAAACGAAACGCCCAATAAAGATGCGCAAACATAAAACCACGATTTATGTTCGTTGGATCTTTCTCTGTATCAGCATATTTGTGATGGACACGATGGACTTGACACCAAAATAGGACTGTATACTAAGCATTTAAAGTTATTGAAGCAATTGAAGAACTTTTAGATTTTATATTATCTTACCTGACCAGCTATCGTCTGGCAGAACATAAGGAACAATTTAAATGGTCGAGTAGCTTTAAATGATCTATGGCTGAAGTATCTGTGCGCTCCAGGACCTAGTCCAATTCCACCAATCATAAAAACATGATAAACTGAAAGAAAAAGGTTAAGTATTAGTCAGTGGAGGAGCTAGATGAAGTTTTTGATTGAAAATTTCATCTTTTTTATAATTTTTTTTGGTACTTGAGTTTAGTTTGGTAAATGAAGTAAAGTCATGCAACCTGCATGCTTTCTTGATTTTACAATAATTAATTTTTTATATAATCCCACATTTATTCAATCAGTCGATGACAGAGCTCAAAGCTAACTCCAGACTTTTATCGATTTTGTATGGCAGAGTCGACTCCGAGTTGACTCGAATCCACACAAAATTTCATCGTCTGCGTGCTCTGGTCGATGATAAAAAGATCTCTGATTAGCAGGCACAAATCTGTCCTCAATGTAAACGACTCTTGCTTTGTACTCCGCTTGTGTTTTAAAACTGATTGACATTAATCATTTGAGAATTTTTGTGACTGTGATTTAACATTTTAAAATTCAAGTTTTTTGCTGAACTCATTAAACAGCCTTGCGTGATAATTTTGTCACTCCTTCTTATTTAAGTCCAGAAGTTTTTAATGTGGACAACTAAAATTGTAACTTCATTGATTTTGATTAGCTCTTCATGATAAATTAACAAAATGATTTTGTTACCCAATTGGACCAAGACTATCTCAAGAACCTTAATTTGCAAAAAAAAATTATAATGAGTCTAGACTGAAGTTTGTGTGAACAGAAAAAAAAATTTGGGCCCCTCTTGAAGTGTGTTTTCTGCACAGAAAGTTCAGGATCGCAAGGATTAAAGCAAGCTTTACATTCAATTTAATTTGGATTTATAATGCTTCTTAGCTAATTCTTTAGTGCAACTAGATCTTACAGAAATAATCCATACATGATCTTTTACTTTTAAGATTAAACATTACAGGAGTGTGACTTCTTGATTTTATTTATTCTTATATTATCCGGAATAGCACAAGACAATTAATTGAATGGAAATCCAGCACTAAACTGGCGAGATTTTAGAATGGTTCCAGATTTAAATCGAATCTAGCGCCATTCCAAAGTCATGTCGCTTGGTGCCGGATTTCTATAAGTTAAATAATTTATTACCAAAAGGTATTCAGGAACATAAGTATATATATTAATGTACCCAGAATGATATTTAAAACATTTATATAAGAATTTTAAACAGTTGAATTAGATGTTGGCATATTACAGCCATTCTCTATTCGATTAACTGACTTAAAAATTAAAATTCTTTGATTTATGTATTCATCCCTTGCATATATTGAACATTAAGGTTAATTATTGAACATTAAGGTCAGTTCGTTCATTATTTTTGCGAACAGATAGTCACGAGGTCGACAATTGTAGGTTTCTGAATCATTTATAATTGTTTTAATATATTAATCACTTCGTAGCACTTCATAACAATGGTGTCCAACATTTTATGTGCCGCGGCACACTTGTCATGACCAAAATCTCATGATGTGGTAAGTCATGACCAAAAGCAGACACAGCATATGGTTTGTGGGATATCTCAATTTTTTTCACGGAATACTAGTGTGTCGCGGCACTTGGATTTGTCATCACTGCTTTATAGTTATAAAATCGTGCTGCTTTATGTGGAGTAGTTCTAAGAATTCACCAAAATAAACGATTAAGAGATGTATTCGACAATTTTAAAAATCAAGTTTGTACAAATGCACAAATTCAATAAAATTATCTATTTGAAATATTTAAACATTACTTTATCGCATTAAGAACGAAGATAAGCATATTTAAATGATTATTTCCATAGAGACAGTGTATAAATAATTGTGCATAGCTCCCTTTGAAAATCATGATTACGCTAATTAGACTTTTAATGCTAATTTACTCACTCCATAGATATGTGTACACTTTTAATTGCAGCGTAATAAAGTAATAAAATCCAATTATTCCTCCAACATACAGACACAGTAAGAATATCACTTTATCCCAATTAAAGGAACTCAAATAATTTTTAAAGTCTTTCCAATCATAATCATTTTCTTCCAGAAGAAATTTTATTTTTTTCATTTTTCACTCAAACTTTTGGTTGATTTTTTCTAAATATTATTTTACAAAAAAATTCAAATTTCACTTTTTTTCCAGATTTTTATTTGTTTCTTCTTTTTAAATTTTTAATAAATTTTCCATTCCAACTTATTATATTATTTAAATCCTCGCAATTTAATTTTTTGGCAAACTCACTTCAATCACAGCTTACTTCATACTACAAGGCTTCGCATTAAAAGCACTGATTTTATAAATGAAACATAAAATTAAGAACGACTAGCTTATACTTAGAGTACTGATCATAAAAAAGTAAGAATATGACGTCAAAAATCAATTTCTTTAAATGGATAATCTGATTTTTCGGATTGGATATTAATTTTCAAAAAAAATATTAATTTTCTAATTTGCCTGGCCAGGGTTGTAGCCAGAAAATAAAATTTCCAGGGGGGGTTTTGGGAATTTTGTTTACTCAAAAAACACATGCAAATTGATTAAAATTTCAAAAAAAGGACTTTACCCCAAATCTCCCTCTGGGCTACTCCCCCCTCCCCCCTCCCCCCTCTGGTCAACATGCTGATGCTTTTTTCATTAAAGAATTCCATTTTCCTGTCATTATTAAGTAAAAGATTCTAAAGTCATCCTCAAGTCGCGTCAAGATTGGAACTTAAAACTCAAATTATCCGTTTTAATGAAACTGAAAACAATTTTTGCGAACGTGAACGAACAAAAGTAAAAGCAATGATGTTGATGCTGATTTTGAGGTCCCGCGTCACAGCAATTTAATTCAAAAGCATCTTTGGGTCCTCAATCTACGTTCGTACCTAAACAATGTATTGACTAACATTTTTGCCATGTTTTGATTAATTGACCTTTAAGCTTGATGATTCGCAAATTTTGATTTTTGCACATGAGAATTTTTTTAATAATTTCTTTTGGGTTTGCGGATTTTATAAGTTGTATGCGGCAGTAAGTCGGTAGAACTTGCAAATCTTTATTATTATTATGAATTAAACACATTAAGAATCTCCTATAAAATTGAAAAAAAAATTTCACCAACTTAAGATCACATTTTTATTTTTAAATTTTCACGCCGATCTTTCCTTGTCTAAAGAATCACGTCAACTGGACACCTCAAAATTTTCACAAATTTTTTTTAACAAAAATTAAAATTACAACGTTGGGCGATCAAATTATTTGCCAGAACCAACTACTTCAACCTTGAATTGTGCGAAAAAAACATACAATTCGCTACAATTATCAGATATGAAATAAAAGTTTTTCGTATGTCAATAAGTTTGTGCTCAACATCACATTGCTCATTTGCTGTGTGAAATTTTATTAAATTAAACCATATTAATGGCTTGTTCATATCATTCAGGCATGATTTTTTATAAGGTCTACACCTACATAACATTTAATAATTAATTAATCAAAACAATTTTTAAAAATCCAGCAAAAAAATTAATTTTTGAGAAGCAAATAAAATTGTTTTTTGAGAACCAACGAATTGAACTCCAGAGAAAGAAAAAAAATAAGCGGCACGTGTTAAAAAGTTTTAAAGAGGAATGTGCAAAATTATTTCATGTTAGGAATAAATTGTCTAAAATTTATGCATCAAATGGGTTAGACAATATTTTTTGCGATACTGAATATATCAACGACCCTGAAAATCTACAGTTTCTTCTTGAATCTGTGAAGAATTAAATGATTTAACAAATTTTACGGCAAATTGCTTGAAAGGAATAATTACATTTGCCGTTAAAATAAAAATCAAGGCATTAGCACTTGGGATTTATCTTAAAAATCCTTCAATCATACAACAAAAATACATCAAAATATCTTTTAAACTCCTATAAAATCTCATGAGGTAGGAAGTGCATTCTTAGATTTTTGAGATATTTTTCGCCTTAAATTTAGTTCTTTTCGAGTTTCAACGCCTTGCTTATAATATTTACAAAAACAAAATTAGACATAAGCCCGAGTGGAACGCTTAAAATGATGTCAAGTACATTCTTAGATGCAGAGACGAATAGTGACAATTTTTAAGGGACGTTCCCAAAAAATTGTCACCAGTCGTCCCTATGTCTAGTAATTTACTAGAACTCATGTCTATTATTCCACTCAGGACGGGAGAATTTGAGGACAAACATCAAAAACTAAGCTCATGATTTTGAAAAAGATATTCTCGCAAAATTCTTACGTATCTTAGCTGTACTTAAAGCAACTTAATGTGGTTAATGTGGGAGAGTTGACCTTTTCTATTAAGGTGCTAGTGCTATGAATTTTTAGGGTTTGCGTCGCAACACACCAGATTACCACGAAGGACCATGGCACAGATAAGATTGCCTACATAATAATGAAAATTTAATTTGACTCTTTCCCAGAAGCACCATTGCTATGCTCCTCAGTTAGTAAATCGTCACTGGTTTAGTTGCTTTCGATCAATTAGTATAATTATAAGCTTACAAAAACATTCATAAAACCTCAGACAAACATTAAATTTTGATCATCACGAGTCAGTGATTAATAAATTTGAAAAAATTAAATGAAAGATAAATTAATATTCGTTAGTGTTGCTGTGTCTTTACTAATGAGAATGAATTTGTGCCAGAACCCGAATTAAGCATCAAAAAATCACAATAAATGAGCAAACGTTTTTCTGCACTTCCTTACTTTTAAGTTTAATTTTTAAAAAAAAAACTTTTAATTTATAAATTAATATCAACTTCTTATTTGTTGCCATGCGTGAAGGTCAAACAGTTGCAAAAATTATTTAAGGCCGTTTCCATGACTTCATGCTTCTAGCTTGTCATAACCAAACATCGAACTGTTAATCAACCACATACTTATGACTGTTGATTCGTTTAAATAATGCAACAAAAAAATGCAATTAATAATAATATTAAGCTTTTCTTCCATCAAAACAAAACAAAGCATTTAAGCTTCAAAATACTCTCAAGAGTCGCTCAATACCAGCAAAAATTAGTTTCTATTTCATCAAATAGCCAAAAAA